CACCCGCCACAATGCTGGGCTATTTTTTGGTTGCAGCCGTCATTGTTGTTTGGCGGGCCCAGGCTGGATTCGAACCTGCCACCTTGGTTGTACATGGCTGGCGCCTTAGCCACTTGAGCCACAGGCGCCGAGCCAACTTCAGATTTTTAATGAAAGTATTAGGTTATAGATAGTCAAAGAGGGCAGGGACCTTGGAGGTTAGTCAGTCCAAACTACTTTGCAGATAAGGAAACTGAGACCAAGAGGAGGGGAAATACCTTTCCCAAGGCCCTGTGGGCAGCTGTCAGGAGACCATGGAGCAGGATCTCGGTTCTAGCTTTGGCCCTTTCTCATGCCACCCTGCTATGGTTACAGTAAAAACCCCTAGTATAGCCACAAAAATATGAAGAGATAAAGTAACAACATGTCAGTATGTGGAAAAGCCTCACACCAAGTCCACGCTACACACCTGTGGTAATGATTCAAAGAGGAATCCAGTGGCTAATATGACCAGCAGGATCATTAACGAGGCCAAACAACCTGCAAGCTGAAGGAGAGGACACATGGAAGGGGCTTTAGGAGGCGTGAGTGAGAGGAGGGGCAGAGGTTGGTCTTATTCTTTGGATAATCACTACTGGAAGATCAAGAAAATATGGTTTCCAGTGAATCATCTGAACTATTACATAAACCTATAACTCTCTCCCATTCCCTCTTTGAAGTTTTGGTTCTTATGGCTTTTAAATAGAAGCTTGAAATGCTTAAATACCGTGACTGAAATTTCCTTGTCAGAGGTGGTGAAAGGTGTTTAGTGCCAACCTGAGACCCATAAGGGCCAAGAGTTCAGATAAGTGTTTGCTGTCCAATATGGTAGCTACCAGCCACACGTGGCCATTTACATGTCTCTAAAATTAAAATTAACTAAAATTTAAAATCCAAGTCCTCTCAAGTGCTCAAGAGTCATGTTGCTGATGGCTGCTATATTGGACAGTGCATTTATTCAACATTCCTACCATTGTAAAAAGTTCTGTTGGATGGTGTGGCATCCTGCCCACACTCAGGCTTTCCTGATGATATCCCATGTCTGAACTTTGAGGTTTACTGGTAGCCGAGTATTGTAAAACTTTCCAATTTAACTGGAGAATATACCCCTTTTCTACAGATTCAGTTCCTGTGATTCGTGTCAACCAATCATGCCTTTCTCTGATTCTCTACACAGCTTACCGGAGCATGGATCTGCAGGCAGAGTAGCTTTGTTTGGGTTCAGAATAGAATCAAGAGATTAAAATTTAATTACCACTCAGATCACTAGTTCTCAGAGGCCTGTTCCATACACACCTGTGTCTTCCCTCCAGTTCCCTCCTGAACAAGGCTTCGAGACAAGGAGCAGGAAATGGAGAAGGTCTGGAAGAGCGAGCCAATGGAATTGCACAGTCCCAGGGCAATGAGCTCCTTTTCCGTGGGGAAACAAAATACAAAAGACAGGTCATTCTTCAGGAGGAAAAGCAGGATAGCCCATTTAATCTGCATTTGTAGCTGTATGGGCTGTCTTTTCAATCTCTTCTCAGTTACCATAATTTGTTTAGCATCAGTTCAAAACAGGAATTATGGCATATTTTAAGGGGGGGGACTCTTAAAATTTTTATTGTGTTAGAAATAAATGCTGTGCTCCCCATGCAGCCCCCTCTTTCCCAAACACACTCTCTAAACAAATAATGGTGGTTTTTTTTAAATTGCAATAAAAGGGAACAAAATATTTTTGTTGTTTTAAGAGGAAGTTCGTGACCTATAGGACTATTGACATCTTTTAAGTGCCTGGACTATTACTTATCAACAAATATATGCCAATGTCTTCCTGGGGCAAGTAAGTCCTGCTCTTAGGGCTATTCTGGGTATTTCTAGTTTGACCATTACACTTTATATGAATGTAAAGCATCTAGTTTCCCCTTAGAAATATACAGGGTATTAAAATAGGCATTGTCATACCAAGATTACAGCGCATGGTGTTGGATTAAATACCTTATTTGTGACTATGTTACAAAAGAAGGCAGCAAAGAGAATACTATGGTGTCTGAGAGATGAACCATGTACCCAAAGTTTAATAAACAAAGATAGGCCTTCCTATGGAGCAAAAATGGTTTGAAAAAATACAGGGTCCAGCAGAAGTAACGCCTTTTGGTGCTTGAGTGTGATAGTGTTGTTACTGAATTTCATGCAAATCACAAATAATGGCACAAAAAATGTTCCTGTTCTTACGAGCTGGTAATCCAGCTGGTAATCTATACCAATCTT